GTACCACGTCTGGGCCATTTACACATATAGTCAATGTGTCAGTGCCTTCAACGCATGTGTTGAATTGAACCACATTCATCATAGATGTTATAGGTATATGTTAAGTGCATAAATGTGTTATCATTACAGCATCTAGTTATGATTAAAATACATTTGTGAGAAAAATGACTCCTTAAACCCAAATTAATGTGATAAGAACTACTTAAAATAGCAGATGGAACTCTAGAAAAAAGGTTTCTGAGGAGAAGGCTTTCATTTTAGTCTGTCTGACCCCAGTGCCATCCGTTAACACGGAGGAGGCGGGGTTTATGATCTACAAAACAGCTAGCATAACGGGGAGCTGTCAGGCCGCCCACATTTTCTACAGTTATTGGTCCACGCTCTTGGCCTGCGCACCTGCAATTATTCCACTCACCTGCTGCGCAGGGCGGCGGCTCTGTGTTACTTATCGCTGGATCGTGGCGCTCGTGTTTCTGTGGATGTCTAATTTGTGTTCTCTTCCCGTGTACAGACCCTACTGGACGCTTCCCTATTTTCCCTTGTCTTTGACGTGAGTTTGGATATTCGTATGTGGACGTCGTGTATCGCACAAAAGAGAACGTGTGAGGGACTGGCGATTGAGAAGAGGAGTTTTGGACGTGTTCATTTTTCCCTGGATTCCCGGGAGCACTAATTGCCCTGCACGGTTGTTTATAGCGCCTGGTGTCACTGTAAATAAACTCTCTTTAATTGAAACCTTAGTTCTGCGCTAGAGTCCGCTCGTTCACCTTGACGGGATCAGAAATTACAATTTCTTTCAGTTTCTATTCTTGGTCATGGATGGTTTTGTGCGAAAAAAACTGACTGAATGGAAACTAAGTGACTGGATTGAGGCATTTGAAGGTAAATTATTACTGTGCATCAGTGATGGGTACAGATATTGATACTTATACGTTTTGTTAACTCTGAAAAATAATACCTATTAATACACATTTTCACATTTACTACACAAAATGTGCAAGAGAAGATGTCCTAAGACTGGAAAGTGATACTTGCTTAAAATAAAAGGGAATTAAATGTGTTCAAATCATACATCAATGCAGAACTCCTTTAAAAAACTGTTTCTGAAGTAATTTTATAAATAATTGTTATTTCTGCTATTTAACTTTATTACAGCTCAAGAAATTGATAAGGAAAGTCTGTATCTTCTCAATGATCAGGAAATTGATCAATTGATCACAAAAGCTGGACCTAGAGTAAAATTCAAGGATAAACTAAAGCTGTTAAAGGTAATTAAATCCTTTAAGATTTCTTTCCTTTTTGTCTGAAAAACCTCACTCGTGTTAAAGTTTACAGATGAATTTGTTGTAGAATTATTATGGTGCACAAACTACTTAACTATCAGTGTGTCTATGATAGCTATATTATTCACATATTTTGCCAATATGGATTTGCCATGTTTTCATTATGTTAGGAAGAGCAAAATACAACTCAACCACAAAAAGAAGCCGTCAATACTTCTGGTCAAGTAAGTCAAAAACAGTTTTATTATTGAATAGATAGATGAGGTTTTTAAGTGTGGATAATTAAATAATAGTTTATTGCAATAGTAAATTGTGCCTCAGATGGACAGCAAGTGGAGAGTGATAAATGAGATGAG